TACCTGGGGTAAAGAAACCATACTGGCTCACAGAACTGAAGATACAGCCTCGGATACCGGTCGGAACTATCAGATGACGACACGCTCTATGACAACGAATTGGTAAGCGAAAACCTAAATACCCCATCACACAAATTGCGTACTGGAACATAACGTCGTGGAACGGAAGAGACCAGAAAATAATAATAGAAATGAAAAAACACTGACATCTAAGCAATCTCCGAAAAAAAAGAAGAAATAAGGCCAAGGAGTATCAAAATATGGAGAGATTACACTCATATACAGCGGTAAAGCTAAACAAGAAAAGAGCACATTCAGGAGTTGGATTTTGTGAAATATTCTGTAGACATATCAAATATGTTATATTTTTTTTAATGTCAGCAATATGATGAGTTTAATCATTTGTTTATTTATACCTTAGTTCTTCCCCAACCAGCAACTAAAAGTGGCATCCCCTCTGATAATTGGTGATCTTGATTTGGTAAACGTGCTGGTTGGATCTTCTTAGAAAATTCAACTTTTTGTGTTAACTAAAATAATATAATTAAATATAAATAAATGTAAAGATTAGGTAAATATTTAATTTCATAGTTTGATATAAATACTGTACTATATTATACTATAAATGGTAATGTCAAAATTAAAATTTAAAAGGGAGATTCCCAGTGGTTGGCTTTATATTATAGTTTAATAAAACTTGAAAATGAAGTAAAAAGTTCTTTTTCTAAAATGATTTTTGAAATGAACTTTTAAAATTTATGCAAAATGGATTTAAAAATCTTCAGAATGTTTTCGATCCTATCAGATCATCATCACTGAAAAGCCTACAAAGAAGTACTTAAAAATTAAAAAAAAAGGGCAAATCATTTTTATTAAATTTGTCTATAAGGTTGTAATTTTAATCAAAATTATTTGTGTAACTGATAAAATAAGTGGAAAGAACCAAAACGTTGGGTTGAATTACTTAATGATATATATATATATATATATATATATATATATATATATTATAATATATATATATATATTATATATATATATATATAATATATATATATATATGTATATATATATATATATAATATGATATATATATATATATATATATATATAAACCTGGTATTTAGGCGGCACACGCCCTTCCGGTAGGGATCTATGGAGGAGTAACACCGAGCCGCAAGCTCTTATCTCTTGTCGTACTGCTCCAACATAGGCCAATCAGACACCAGCATATTCCTAGTCTAAGCCGCAGATTCATTTAGAATTTTAAACTGCTGCGTTAGCCTTTTTGTTTTCTGTACACCGAGCTGGGGAGCGAACTCACATCACTCACAGTGAAGCGAATGAGAAGCCGGCGGCCCAGCCCGCTTGGCTATCTGACCGCCTTACTTAATGATACATACCTTAATAATTGCTATATCGTTAATAACCAAGAATGGCGTATGTGTAAGTACTGTTCATGCAATTTTTACATCTTTTAACTTGAATTTCCGTTCCTGGCTGAGTTACATTAGTGGTTCCTGCTAGGATAGAATATGAGCTCCATGGGAATGACCTAAAATTTACAATATGATTATCCTAGAAAGTGAGAAACATAGGTAAATTTATTTTTTGAGGATCTGAGTAACTGAGAGTGAAATGCTACTTCTTCCTGCAAGTTTTGTGCAGAGCTCAAGACATTCTTATCAGCACGACCATTGGCTAAAAAGGATGCAAAGTAATAAGTCAGATAGGATGTATACTGTCTGCTTATACAATTATTTAATATATATGAGAAGTATATTATATGAAGATCGTTTGAAGGATGAGAAAAGAGCATCTCAAGAAATGGTCAAAAAATAAACAGCCTACAGCTGTTTCACAGGTATAGGCTGTTTATTGATTTAGGTGTTCCAGAGTTCTATCCAGTAAGAGAGTAATAAGTCCTAACCTAAACCAGCATTAACTTAACCTTGATATAAATATTCTTTTACTATATATACCATGTTATTTTATATAATGGTAGTTATTAAGAATAGTTCTGTTGTCTTGTTCCATATAATCTGCTATCTGTGATAAACTAAGATATTTCAAACATTTTCGACGCTTCAGTGTATAAGTCATTTTTGTTGATATTATAGATACTTTGGAAGTTAATTCCACACATATTCAAGAGTGCATAGAATACCGTCAACTGCCACCTTCTGTTATTTCGGGAAAACGTCGTATGTACCTGATAACTGGTCAACGGTATCAACCCCTCCTTTAGTAACATTGTAGAATGTGACTATTTCTGGCTTCCTAGCATTTCCCGTAGATAAGTCTATTCTGTCATCATGGTGTAGTGTTGATAACTTCTTCTTCTTATGGTGACCTATCCATTTAGTGGATATGGCGACAATTCTGGCATATTCCTCTCGATCTTGTGTGGCTCTAAAAAGTGCATGGGCATCGAGGTTTGTCCAATCCCTTATGTTTTTAAGCCATGAGTATTTCTTTCTTCCGATGCCTCGTTTTCTTTCTATCTTCACTTCCATAATAAGCTTTAAGAACTGGTACTTGGAATTTCGAAATATATGACCCAGATAAGCAGTTTTTCTTCTTTTTATTATTGGCAGCAATTCTCGTTCTCTGTCCATTCGATTTAATACTTCGACATTTGTTGTGTGATCTGTCCAGGGAATTTTAAGTAGTCTTCTAAATACCCACATTTCGAAAGGCCTCCAATCGGTTCATCACATTGGCCTTTATGGTCCAGGTTTCTACACCATATAGCAGTATGGAGTAAATGTAACATTTTACAAAGCGATATCGAAGCGTTAAGTTGAGGCTGCTGTTGCTTAGCAAGGTTCTCATATTGGTAAATGATTGTTCTGGCTTGCTCAATCCTGCTACGTATCTCTATGTCTGGATCTAGATCTTCAGTTATCCAACTACGAGATATCTGAACTTTGGGACCTTTTGGATGTTCTTGTTGTTTATTCTTATATTATAATTGTCATATTTCGTGTTCTACTAACCACCATTATCTTCGTCTTGTCTAAATTAATCTTCAAGCCCAGTCGTTCTCCTTCAGTGTTTATTTTATCTATTAGTCGTTGTAGCGCTTCTTGGCTATCAGCTATTATGACTGTATCATCAGCATAGCGAAGATTACTAATAGTCTGTCCGTTGATTTTGATTCCGTCTTCAGTGTCACTTAAGGCTCTATCGAAAATAGTTTCAGAGTAAAGATTGAAAGGAGGGGTGACAGAACACAACCCTGTCGATACACCTTTTTTGATTGAGAAATATGATGTAGATTCCAGTCCTACTCTCACAGATGCCACTTGATTCATATAAAGGTTCTTTATGATTTTAAGGTCATTCTCATCTATCGAACGTTCCTGGAGCAATCTTACTAATTCTGAATGATTAACACAATCGAACGCTTTCTGGTAATCTATAAAGCATAGGAAGACATCTTTTTGCTGATCTCTGCATTTCTGAAGTAGGACAGTTAAGCTATAAAGTGCTTCTCTTGTGCCAAATCCTTGTCTGAAACCGAAACTGTGTGGGGCTAATGTCTCTTTCACATCTGTTGTATATTCTTGTGTGAATTATCTTTAAGAAGAGTTTTAGGACCTGGCTCAATAAGCTGATCATTCGGAATTGGTCGCAACTATTAGCGTTTGGCTTTTTTGGGATTGGTATAAAGGTTGATTGAAGCCAGTCCTGATGGTATTTGACCGGACCCATAAATGTCATTAAAAAGATCTACCAAGGCGTCTAAATTGTCTTCACTCAACATTGTTAGAACCTCTATGTATATGTCGTCTGGGCCTGGTGCTTTTCCCCATTTGCTCTGTTTGATTGCCCTTACAACTTCTGACTTCAATATTTTGGGGGTAAGTTCACTTTCAGAGTTTCTTCTAGTGTGGTCTGAGTATAATTGCAGTGTGTAGTTTCTGCAATGTTGAAGTAGATGTTTGGGATCAGTAATTAATTTGTTGTCATTCACAATACTGTTAAAACTGCAAGATTTTAACCTGTCACTTCTTTAATAAGTCTATGTATGTTAAAGTGGTCATACTTTTCTTCCTTGATAACAATAGAACATTTCTGTTTTTCTTTGGGATACAGGATACTCAGCTTGTATTTTTTTGGAAACCAAAAAGCGTAGGATGCTGGTCTCAATTTTTTGTGTTGACCATATTGGAAGGAATTTGCTTCTTGTTCTTTCAGACAGTTGGACATAATATATGTTAATTGGTGTTTTTCAAGAAGCTGTGTGGATAATTAGTGAAATAATTATTAATGTAATATTTCGTTTGCTACCAGACACTGTTGAAATCAATCGTAAAAACTACATCTGTAGGCATTGTACTCATTTTGAAAGGACCATCCAGTTAAAAACACACAATAAATTTCCAAGTTTGTAGTATAATAACGTCTTGAATCGACTAAAGCAAAAATTTTGATTGTCAAATACTCTTTTGAAAACACCTCTAATTGGGGCTATTTCATCGATATTGATCGTGTGTAGCTCCATTGTCAAACCGCAAGCACCTTAGCAGAAATTGCTAAGACATAGCATAGCAGAAGCGCTTTGGAGACATAGTTTTCTTAAATATTGGCATTTTTGTACCGTCATTTGCCCAGAAGTCTTTAAGGTTTCGCCGGGACAATCGACGCATTCCTGCTAAATAAAGTAATTCAAATACAGCCTCGATTTCTTGCTCGGAGCTCTCTTTTACTACGTATTGGTGATTATCGTTGTAACGTTCACTTACTGAATTGATTTTCTTATTGGTATGTTTTACAATATCAGCAATGAGTATGTCATCCATGAAGAGCTTCCAATAATGGTCGTTTCACGCCAGACAATTAAGAAACTAAATTTTCCGCTCTAGGGCGAACCGATCGTAGTTCTACCTTTTTGGCCCATTTCGTCACTTATTGTCATTTATCTCGGCCCCAATAATATTTAGTAAAATGTACTCACATTTTCTCCATTCTCTTGTTTACTTTCATTTTCGTCGTCATCTTGGTTTTGTGTCTGTGTCATGACAACTTTCACCATTATTGTCGAGCTGCACTTCGTCTTCGGAATCAGGAATAGCCTCATCTTCATCACTTTGTACCTTTTCCCAGAATCTTAACAATCTTGCTTGCTCTTGTTCATAACTACACATATTTATAACAAATTTTGAGCACAAGTTTGGAAAAAATGTCTAGGCATCAACAATGATTAACTGACTGACGCCAGAGGTGTGTGTGGTGGGGTGTGACACACCCGTGGCGGCATATTCTGTCATCTATGTAAGTGGGTATTAAAGAAAGGATGAAAATAACAATGCTACTCGATAGAGTGATGTTATAGTAACAGCTACTAAACAATAGGGGGCGGTAAGATGCTGTTTTTGAGAAAAATTTCATTTTTTGCATGCGTGGCGTGTATTGTCGTACCCGGTGGGTAATAAGTTGAAACAATAAATAAATCCAATGTTATCCAATATTGCGAAATGTTGCAAAATACTGCGAAATGCCCACTCCGTAGATGATTAGAAGGTTCTGTTTTGATAAAGACAGGATATGTTTCTTATATCAGCTCAGGTGAAATGAAACTCGTAATTAGTAAGTGTGGAAAAACTCAGCCACAGAGTCTAAGAATGAAAATTAGCAGAGCCCCCTAGAACGAAGCGCTCTAGGAGTGTCCGTAAAAGACCGACTTAGACTGACTTGAGATCCGAATAATCCCATATTTAAAGACATTTTAACTTTTATATCAGATTTTCGGACCTCTCGTCCAATAGAAAATTGAATAAAATCCCAGAGGGAGGGCGATGCGCATCAGGGTGCGTATTATATTGCACCAGGATGACAGTATCACACGCCACCACACTAACGCAGGGTTAAATAGTTTAGTGTAAATATTTCAAACCGTTTAATTCTATTTACAATCTAATATTATATGACCGATTTAAAAACTAATGCATTGTAGAAGCATCAACATCCATCATCTTTGGCTCGACAATCCTCTGTGGATCTTGGCCTGCTCTAAGATTCGTCGCCATTCTGTTCGGTTTTTGGCAACATGTTGCCATCTTCTGATTTTTAATATTCGTAAGTCGGTTTTCAACTCCATTTAACCACCTAATTCGCGGTCGGCCTTTGCTTCTTTTTCCTACAGGTGTTCCTGTGGTTAGCTTTTTAGCAATCGTATTTTCTGGCATTCGTATTATGTGTCCAGCCCATCTAAGTCGCTGTGTTTTAATGAACGTTGATGATATCTGGCTCATCAAAGAGCTGATACAATTCAAAATTATATCTTATCTTCTGCGCCACTGCCCTTGGTCGTTTACAGCTCCAAATATTTTGCGGAGTATTTTACGCTCAAATATTTCCAAAAGTCTTTCATCTTTCTGCGTTAGAGTCCATGTTTTTGCTCCATATGTGAGAACCGGCCTCAGCAATGTTTTGTTTATAATAATTTTAGTTCTTCTTTGTATGTTTCTTGAGTGGAAATGCTTTTGGAGACCATAGTATGCCCTATTTGTAAGATTTATTCGTCTTTTGATTTCTTCGCTTGTTTTATTGGTAGCAGTCAATAGCGACCCAAGGTATGTGAAATTGTCAACACGTCCAAAGGTGTGACTTCTAAAGACTGTTTCTCGTTCCTCATTTGCTATCGGATCCTTTGTAACCAACATGTACTTGGTTTTGTCTTCGTTGATGACTAGGACCGACCTGTTTCTGCCGCTGTTTCCAATTCTAGAAGATATTGCTCAACATCTCGCTTGCTACGCCCTACTATGTCAATGTCATCAGCATATGCTAGGACTTGTATCGATCTATTGTAAATAGTACCGCCATCCCTAATTCGTGTATCTCGGACTTGCCTTTTCTAAGGCAATATTAAATAGGAGGCAAGCCAGAGCATCTCCTTGTCTGAGTCCATCCTTTATTTCAAAGGATCTAGAACTCTCTCCCTGTATTCTAACAGTGGCTTCTAAGTTAGACATTGTCATTCTCGTTAGTCGATTGTAGAAGCATACCTCTCTTAATTGTGCGTTATAAAATACTATCGTACTGTATAACAAACTTTAAATAAACCGACAGAGAATTAAATATATTCTACTATTATACTAATTAGAAAACAAATATTTCTTATAGATTATTTTAAACTTACGAGTCAAGGCAATGAGCTGCTGTAAGCACCGTATCTTCATTCAACAAGGTCCCACCGCAATAATGCTTAGAAAGTAAACGAAGTTCAACTATCCAAGGGTGGTCCTCTATCTTAGCCTCATAGCCACCAAATATTCTATACTGTTTATCTAAAAATAACAAGAGAAAAATGGAGCTATAAATACTAAATTAACTTGCTATTTAATAGTATGTATTTTAAGTATTAATCTTAGTCTTTCAGTATTGTACATAGATTTGTGCGTTTGTAGCCCCCATGTCTTTTTTCGAAATGTTTCTTATTCTTGTATGGCATGCAACAATTTTCATCTGCTGACAAGTCAGTCCATTGATGAAGGCTCGGATCTACGTGTAATTCTTGCTGTCAATTATCTCTATAGAATTTTTTTTATTTAATTAATGTGTCTCGAGTGCAATGGCACAAACAATATTGTGTACAATAATTACAATAAGCATCATCACCATCATTCAATCTTTGCTTATCTACTGCTGGCCATAGATCTCCCTCATAATTTTCCATATATTTCGATCTTGTGCCTCTTGCATCCAATTCCTATGACAACGTTTTAGATCGTTAGTCCAACGTGTTGGTGGACGACCTCTACATCGGTAGGCATCATCTTTTGGTCTCCATTCCAGTATCCGCTTTGTCCATCTATTATCTGTCATTCGAGCCACGTGACCTGCCCAGTTCCATTTCAGTGTTGCTACTCTCTCTACTGCATCAGCCACTCCTGTTCTTTGTCGTAGCTGGCGATTTGGGATCTTGTCTCGTAGTGAAACGCCCAACATAGCACGCTCCATCGCCCTTTGACACACACCGATCTTTTGAACTATTACTGTTGTCATGCCATGGTCAGTGTCAACTTTGTAAAATGGTGTGCACCCTATTCTTCATGCTATGGCATGCTGGACGAGCCATACAGTCTGTAAGTCAACACCCCGAGGTATGAGCGGGAACACAAAGTGAATTAATACTCATACGCTTATGAAACGCACCTGGCGGATCATAAGGGCCTTTACATTTTACTCTTTTTCAACTTGTCTTGAGTGAAATGTCTTTAATCTTTTCCTATCAGCCTCTCTTGGGTAATTCCTATTTCTTCTTCCGACCCCGAAATGGACGATTAGGTTTCCGAAGGCAGACGAGTCACTATATTTCCTTATAACTACAACTCTTTAAACTCGCCACACAGGCTTGGCCAGCGCGGCGTTTGAGCGGTACCAATAGATATCGTAGGAATACAGGGGGAGGGACAAATGTCTGATTAATTTATACAACCATATTTTAAACAAGTAGTGAACGCACATTTTTGGCTGATATGCGGATGTTTTGACTTAATTATAATTAAAAAAAAATAACAAACAAGATTATCTAAAAAATCATTAAAATTATAGTTTACATTTACACAGGGAAAGTGTCACCCAGACGTCATGCACAAAAATTTGAACTTACGAAAGTTCTGAGCGAAAAAAATCCTACCTAAACGTTGGTTTTTGAAGTATTGTTTGTTAAGAGTATTAACTTGGTATATACTGCTTTATGATGCGATAGTCCTACATTAATAAACTAATGAAAAACTCAAAAAAACGATTATGTTAAAGGAGAAATCATTATTAGAATTGGCTGCCACCATGAGCTAAACTTGGACGATCATACCTAGCAATTGTGGCACATTTTTCTACAAAAAAAGGCTCGATGACTTCAATTCAGTGCTCGGAAAACAGCAACTATCTTTCCAAGTCCAAGATGTTATCAATTCCAGAGCGATTAGGTTGAAATCTATTTGTTTCGATATTAATTGATTAGATCTGTTTATTCTCCTCATTAGTTTTATTGTTTACCATATTCTTCATTAACTTACTTATTGAATGTGTTAAATTGTTTTATAAGAATCAGATTCCAATCTTGGTTTTTGCCATTTTAAAAAGGACACAATTATGGCTTTTGACCAAGCTATCGGGGAATTTGTTGTTTAGACAAATTAAATTCAAGATCTGGATTAGATATAGTTTTAGCAGAAAGGGGAAGATGTTTTAAAAATATTACTGCTATGTCTTCTTATCTTTTAACCCTTAACTGGTATGGCAAAGAAAAAAATACATATAAGTATGGCGTGGGTCATATTGACCTTTGGATTTTTTTGTGTAAATAAACAAAAAATTAAGCAAATTTATAATAAAAAAAACCAAAAAATTTCATATGACTTACTGCTAGAAAGAAATATATGGGGTTGACTTAAGAAACTACTCAAAGTAAAAAATCTCAAAAAATAACGAAAAAACACACGTGTATTTTCAAAAAGTAATAAATTCTTATTAAATAATGTTCAAATAAAAAATCAAAAACCAAATGAGAAATATTTAATTATATACAAAAAATTTAACAAACAAGTATGAACATGATGATAACTACTCAATATTACACCTACTACAAAAATTTTTTTGATGTAACACAATGGTTTTTGAATATATGTTTTTCATACTTACTACATATAAGTGATTGTTTATTATCATTACGTGGGCAAATATAACATCATCCCACGTTTAGGAGCTCTTTGCCTTGCCTGGTTTTGGTCGTCTACCGGATGTGGCCAACTCGACGAATAATTCTCTCAATCTCTGGGAATATTTACCATAACAGCACGCCGAACTTAGTGATTGTGTATTAGCTGTTTACCTAAATCAATCAAGAATTTTTGCCGTGTCAACCCAGATTCTGGATTAGCAGCGTTATATCAAACGTGTCCATTGAAACCAGCAACATCCATGATCCGAAACCAAATAGCTTGTGGCCATCTTCTAGTACGCCGTCCTACTTCGTAGTTGGCACAATTTGATCCAGTACATCCACCTCAACTTTGGTAATGTTGTAAAAGTCTATAATATCCGATAGTTTCTTAGCTGTCTCCAATACTTTGTTGTTAAGATGGAGACTGGACCACTAGACAAACGGATCGGTTTTTTTCGGTATGTAGGACACCAAGGTCACGTCTTTATCCAAAAATAGATAAATAAACCGGTCGTTGATTATTGGTAAAACTTCGTTGGCAAATCTCTTTTATTTTTCCGCATAGTACCAACGTAAGTAAGTTTGCAGCGGCGTAGCTCTTCAACAAGCTCTAGTGAAGAAAATCAGTTGTCACCAGTTACATTGCGATTGGAAATTACTGTTGGTGCAGTGAGCGAAAGAATATTTAGTGTTGGTATGGATAGCATTTTTTGGATTAGGTATTGCATCTTGTTTTCCAGTATAAACAAAGGCATTGATTAGATAATGAGTACATCCGTCACACAGGTACATTATTTTGAGTCCTATTTTTCAGGCTTACTCTTTATATAGATTCTAAATTTACATTTTCCACGGAAACCGACGAGCATTTCATCCACTGTTATGTATTCTCGACATGAATGATTAGTTTTACAGTTATTTACAAAATGGTGAAAAATTTCAGAAATTGCTGCCAGCTTGTCTGCATTTACAATACGCTGGTATTGGTATAAAACTAAACCTTTTTGCTGTCATTACGGAACGGAATATATCACAACCAGTATCATCAGTAGCAAAGAGAGAATTTATATCTTCATTGTTTGATTTGAACACACCTGCCAAATACAGAAGACCAAAAAATTCTAAAATTTCAATTTTGTCCACATGGTTTATTCTACTGCATTCTAAAGCGTTATCTCCATAATTTGTTTGCAAACTGGTTATTTTTTCGTTGGTTCTCTCAATAATCTGGTCAATTATCTTATCATCAACTAACAGTTGGAATGCTTAAAGCAGGAGGTCATAGGTTTGTTCATTCGTACTGGTCCAGCAAGTCTTGGTACATGTGACACGATATTTGTTGACCATTTTTTTTTTATTTCTTCCGTAATAGTAACTTTGCTGTTCGTTATCACTACTGGCATCCTCACTACTTGATTCGGTACCTAAGATTTGATTGTTATTATTCCCAGTGTCACTTTAATCACCAGCATTCAGAGTCAGTATCATGCTCACTAACTATTGTCTGTGCATAAAATATGTCTAAATCGCTGTCACCAATCTGTTCAGCTATGTCTTCTAACTCCTGTTGTATCAATGGTCTCGTTCTGACACTTGAATTAGCCATAATTATTTAAAACTAAATCACTGACAATTGGCCTTTTTAAGGTATGGCAGAGTCAATTTTGACCCTATCTACGTTTAACACTCAACAAAGTACAAAGTCAACTGCACCGACTACGTTCCAGTAATGTACTCAACGCCACAGACAAATAGCTGGTTAGCTAGCACAGACTAGCTAATTAGCCATATATTACATACACTTTGTATATTTCTACATACAAAAATTTTAATAACACTATAATATTTTTAAATAAAATTATATAAATATTTTAACTTACCTGCAAGAGGATTGTTGTTGAGCAGTAAAGTAAAAATTACTAATGCAATACTCCATGTAAAATTTCCCATTTTAGACGCGAAAATCGTTCCAAATTTTGAGAAAATTTGATATGAAACAAATATGGAAGTATGATAAGTAAGGTACTGTGTCGAATTCTTATATAGTAACATTGCAGTATGTTCGTGGGTTATAAATCCAATAGTAAACCACGATTTCGGTGAAAAATTTTCACGAAAAGAAAATAAAGTCAAAAATATCACTTTTGACGTAAACCAGGGAACTTATTTTGTAGTACACTTTTATGGTTCCTAATAAAGCAATTAAATTTATTATTGTTTACTACTAACGTCAGTTTAGGAAATTGCAACAATAAGAAAATGTTGAATTTATGATATAGTATGATGAAGCGTAGTAAAAATGAATAATAACAAGATTCAATAATAGTTATTTATTGTACGATAGACGATAGAATTGTAATTTATCTTCGAGAGCTTTGTTTAGCATCGAGACGTCAGTCGAGACGCTAATGTATCCTCGAGAGGATAATGCGATTTAATCGTCGTGTGCAATTCAACATTTTTTTTCTATAGCAAGCCTTCAAGTTCAGGTGAAAAATAGAATTTCAAAGAAAATTGTAATTTTTTAGCACAAAAATCACAATTGTGTTTGCTCCGTTGGCTAGGGATATGAATTACTCTGTCAACAAATGTCAAACAAATGTTACGTTTTTGGTTTTTTTGCGGAGAATATTGTTGCGTTTTATGTACAAAGTAAGTAAATACGAAATGGACGGAAAAGACTTGACACAAGAAAAGGAAACCTGCCATCAGATGTAGAAAATGCAGCGTTGGAAGCAGAAAGTGTATTGTTGCCACAAAAATCTAGGATGAATGTATGAGAAAGAATACCAGTCTTTTAAAAAGTGGAAAAGCATTAAAAATATCAATGGCATAAGTGAAAAAATACTTCTGGCTTATTTTTCTGAAAAATCGAAAAAAGCGATGCAATCGTCATTATGGTCGTATTATTCGATGCCGATGAATGAAATTTGTGACATTTCTAAATTCAGCAAGGTAACCAACCTTACTAAAAAACCTGAGTGGAGGATACAAAGCTAAAAGTCCAAAATCCTGAAGTCAGATGACATTAATTAAATTTCTGGACAGAAGGCATCAATCTCGATAAAATGTATCACTTGCGGGAGATGGTGTGCTAATCCCAAAGTTGCATTGATGTTTTACAGGACCTATATTTAATCAATTTTTGATTACGTATATCTATCTATCTATAGCCCAAAATTTATTTATGTGTTGAATCTAGGCCTCTCCCATTTGTCTTCATTTGCCTCTGCCTTCTGTTTGCCTTTTCCCACATTGGACTTGGGCTTTACTCAATGTCATCTTTCCATCTCATTTTGCGGTCGAACCTCTTGACATTTTTGCAGTATATGATCTCCAGCAGCCAACTTCTTTATTCCATCTTCCATCCTAATATCTTTCGGTATGCCCAGCTCATTTCCATTTTAATTTCAATGCATGTTCGACAGCGTCTGTTGTTTCGGTTTTGCATCTTATCCACTCGTTCCTCTTTTCATCATTTGTCTTTCCATAGCTCTTTGAGTTTTCTTTATTTTATCTAAGTTGCTCTTGGTACACGTCCACGTCTGGGCACCATATGTCAAAACAGGTAGGACGCATGCATTAAATACCTTCGGTCTTAATTATAAAGGTATTTTTAGTAAACAAAAAAAATACGTATATATGGTATACGAAACTGCAATCAATACGCGTTTATTAAAAATAGATCGTATTCAGTTTAGAAGTTTGAAATTAAAATCGGGATGCTGTGTAATCAACACCATACCCTTTGTTGCTTGTGTCATTAGAAAATCTAGAAAATTGAATGGCGATCAAATCTGTATTTGAATTAAGGGAAAAAGCAAGTTACTTAAAGTATGCTGTATCAATTTATTCACACAAAATCTAGTAAACAAGTATTGAAAAATTAAAATGTTTCCACCATTAGCGATGGCCTTTTTGATACCACTTAATAAATTAGAATTTAATACGATCTTCAAAAAATTAAAAATTATATTTTCGAAATATTGGGATTCACTTAACAAAAATAAATTTCCACGTTGTTGAATTATATATTGATTGAATACACTTATAAAACTATAATTTACACAGATAGCTCTATAATGAACAATAGAAGGTGAGGTTTGTAGTAGTGTATATTTCTTCCAATGATAAATCGTTTAAAATAAAACCTCTTTTACATTAATTACTATTGGGAATAATAATACTAACTGGGAATAAGCCACAATTAAAAATAAAAATACGTTTATTGACGTTTCAATTTCCACTTCGGGAAAGATTTCCGTACTTGTTAATATCATTGACTGCTACATGTCTTTTTAAGGTAACACTTATAACATCTTCTCCATGATTGTGTGGTTCTTATATTGTACTTTTTAGATGAACTGATGATGCTTTCAGAATCCGAAAGCAATACGTCAACCAACATTAACCATACTCATACATATATCAAAAAAAACTACTAGATATGATGATATATAACCCCCCTAATCAAACCCCCCCCCCCACACCCCCCCACCCCAACACCCCACACCCCCCAACACACACACACCCACCACAACCCACACACAACACAACAAAACACACCACAACCTCCAACTACAACAAACACACCCCCCCCCCCCACACACACACATACAAATAACAACAAAATATAAATCTCACATCCCCCCATATAAGACCACTCTCTCACCCTACAACCAATATAAAAATAACTCTAAAATACCCCCCATAACAATATCATCCCCACCCCCCCCTTTCTCTCAGACAACAAACAAACGAGTAATCAATTTACCTCCCCCAAAATCTCAACAACCTAACCCTTCCCACCCTAGGTAGGATATTATACGCAAAAATGAATTGGAGCTACGTGTCGATCATCTATGAGGAGTCAAATTATGGAATAAAGGTATGAGATGCAGTATACCTGAACTTAAAAAAAATATTTATATTTAAAAAACTTACTGGAATGTATTAAATGAAAAATTCTAAATAATATTAATGTAAAAAAAAGACTGTCGTCCGAAGTGGTATATATAACAGCTCTAAAGGCCGTGGAGGCCCTTGGCTTCTATTTTTCTTCGTTAATTTTTTATTAATTAATTTTTAGTTAATTTTAATTTGTTCTTCTTCGTCAGATCTCGATGTTTATTCCTTCTTTTTTATTCAAAGTCAGTTTTCACAGCCATACACTGCCACTGGCCGAATTGAATGTTCTTGTTACACTCAAATACTTGGACTAGATTACATTTTTAATTTTGTAATCATTTCCTCTCGTTTGACATAACAATACAAACCAAATTTTTTTCTTTATCTTCAAAGTTCTTTAACATGTGTACAAGTTTTTTTGTTGTTAAAAAGAATGCACCATTTGCGTACGTTATACATCACTGTTTAAAGTGGAACATGGTACTCGTAGTTTGGATTTTACTTTTTCTCATTATTGCCTCCAAGACAAAATGAAACAGATCAGTAGAAAGTAGATCCCCTTATCTTCATTCTCTTGTAACCTCTTGTAACAGATTTGTCATACTTCCTTCTATGTCCACTCTATTGATTGGACTTGTTAGCGATATTTTTAATCATATTACTAATTTTTTTGTAGAGCGTTATACAACTTTTCCCGATATAAAGAGCATACACCTGATTAAAATCATATAAAGATCATGTAGAGTCCTAGGTTTTATTTGCAACTGTTATTTTGTAATAATTTTCAGGTAAATATTTGATTCACTGTCGATTTTCTTGCTCTAAACCCTCCTTAGTATTCACCTACTATGCTATTCTTGTATAGATTAAAACTATTACGTATGATCTTTGCTAATATTTTGTATATATATCAGTACCGTACCGCTATCCCCCTGTAATTTTCACAAAGGGTTCTGTCACGTTTCTTATGTATTGGGCAAATTACGGCATTACTCTATCTCTCTGTCATGTTGTTTTTTTCTCCACACTTTAAGTATCAAATTACATTGTTCCACTGTTATTGTCTTTGTCTAACTTTGCCTTATTTCTTAGCAATACATTCCTCGTCGAACCAGTCTTATTCTCTCTTCGCCCCTGTTTTTCCTAAGCAAACATTAACTGCTTCTGTCATTGATGTTTCGATTTTACTCCATTCCTTTTTCAGGAGTGTAAATAATAAGACTTGTTGCTGTTCGTGTTTTATTTCCATACTGCCACAAAGCTCTAAGTACTTTATAGAGTTATGGAGTAGATTGTTCTATGTTTATATGTCCCTGAGAACGGTGTTCATTTTTTACGTTATCAATTGGTCCTAAGAAGAAAGTGTGTTTTTATTGTGCTATTGTTGTAATACATGTTAAAATAGACGGATCTTTCATCGTTCATCATTAAATAGATAAAGATAAGATAAGTCAAATAGATAAAGATATATAAGCCGACTGTTGTTATCTGCATTTCGCTCTTTTGTATTGGTAGAAAATCTAAGTAGGGATAAAAGTCGGTCAATTCTTATTTTCTAAACATATAAATTAGTCAACCTGGACAGTCAGTGCACATTCCGTCAATTTTAACAAAGTGAGAACATAGTCTGTCAAAAAAGTTTTCATAGTAAAATAAAGTTACTTAAAGTATCCCCTAAAATGGGACGCCCTAAAACAATTTTGAGAGATGGAGTCAAAGAATTTGCAACAGATGGCCTATATATGTATAACAACAAATATTGTGATGTGTAAGTATTGTAATACTCGTTTGGAAGGCCATAAAAAGGACACACTGCTGAAACATGTGAAGTGGATAACCACATTAACAAGAAAAAATCTATAGCATCTACTTCAGGAACTAAGCGACAAATGTCAATTGTTGCTAAATATGTGCCATGGTCGGGTGCTCTTCCATGTGTGGACACTTTAAGGAGAAAGGTGGGGCCACGGTGTGGGCTCTCTAAAAAAGCCAATACTATGCACAGCTGAAAGACAAAGCAAATTGTAATAGTTGCAGACGAAACCTCAGATGGACAAAGAAGAAGTGTTTTTGCTATTCTTTTCAGAACTATAGATTCTGTACTACATCAAGAATGCTTTTTAGCAAGTATTAACTTCCTTAATACTGCCAATGCATTAACATATTCACATGCAATTATAGATACATTAAAAGACTTTGAAATTTATTATTTATAAGGTAAAGGCCTGGTATCAGATTCAGCAAGATACATGTCTGCTTGCTTTCACCTATTAAAAATTAGGCCCATAATGGTAATCTTGTTGGTGATGTTTTTGTAGAAGAGTTCAAGGAGTTCAAGGTCAAGTCAGCCTTTTGTCTTTCAAGAAAATGAAGAACTCTTACTTAAACTCTCTGAAAAAAAAAACGTGTCAAATCTCCCCACTCCCAGCAAAACTTCATCCAGCACCAGTTGTAACTAGATGGAACTCTTGGTTTTCAGCAGTGTCGTATCTAAGTAATATCTTAATCACAAACTCAATTTTTTTTAAGTGTAAGAGAATGAAAATTCCAGTATTAAATTTCTCAAAGACAATTACGTCGATGAAACTATCAGTCGTAAACTAGAAACACAAATGACTTTTACCACCGAGTTCTGTCCAAATTAATGCAATTAATAGACGATTTGGAAGGAGCCAGTTATCCATTCACCAATCTTTTATGGAACAAATGAGAAGACTTAAAATCGTTATTTGAATGCTATCGCCAAGGTTGTTTTGGTGTAAAAACAACTCGATTAACTCAGTGAAAATGAAAAGATTTACGCTACTCTGAACGAAATGCTTACGAAAGCAAACAACAAAGATTTTAATAAACTAGCTCTCCATATGGACTTTAAAAGACATAAACGAGGCTTTCTTACACATTGGATAGTGGTTTAACCCATATATAGCTGCAAGTTTCACTGTGAATCCGATTTTACTCTCAGAAAGCTTTTCTAAAATTTTTTTTTAGATAAATGACACAATTGGAGTACATAGATGGATATACTCACTTTCATAGATTAAATCGATACGAAGGAACGAAGATCCCAATGTGAAGAATATTTTGCTTGCTACACCGTGCAGTTTTCCGTCATTTGCTAAAGCAGCATTACAGAGCATCTGGAGTCCAACGAACAGAATAGACGCAGAACGATTCTTCAGCAAATACAATATTGTAGTGACAGATCGAAGAACAGCTTTTAAAGAGTCGAATGTCAGAATTACAACGATTTTAGCTTTTAATGAATGTTTTTTTGTTGTTTTTTTCGTAGTTAAAAATAAATGCGAAATTTTGTAATTATAAAAAAAAGTTAATGCGAAATTTATGTTTTTTATTTCCGAAAATTCCTTACCTCTAGTTATAACCCTTTTGTATAGTTCTACTATTGCCAATAATACAATTCTAAAAAATATTACCAAAGATAAATAACGACTCTTTTCACCGGTCCAATCTCTATACAAGAACCTTTGTAGTAATTAATTTACCTAATAGCAGATAAAAAACCAGACCCCAAATACGGTAAATTCTCATATTTCACACAAGTCCTATTTAACGGTGTACTCGTAACAGCGTGTACTTCTAATTACATATAAAATTCAAATTTAGTGTCTGGAAAATTAGCACCCCTAACAAAATAATTAAAGTCTCAAGTTACGCCTTCTAGAGCAGATCAATTTAACTTCGCTCAGGCAAAAAATTAAAGAGCATTTGTAATTACACATACTCACTTTGCAAGAGAATGTAGATACGTACAAATACAAAATTTGTAGCTTGGTTTTGAAATTAACGTTTTTATCCAATTTAAATAAAATTGGTTGTGCAGGAATCCAAATGTGCACGTTTTTATCTTCGTTCAGTCAGATGAATAACTCATCAACTAACCATTGTAATTACAGTGAATATATGCACAAAGGCTACAGTTTGTTGTGATAAAATCCTTTTGTAAAGTTTTCTAAAATAAGTAGAAAGTTAAATATCTAACCTGTAGAAAAAGGTTTAATAAATTCAGATAACAAGGAGGTCTTGCATTTTTTGTAACCACAAATAAATATATAAAATACCATTGTATACTCGATTTTTGCTTCATTTTGCTATTTGCGTTTGCATAGTATGCATGACATTCTACGCCTCCCTATTATTCTCTTTTCTTGTATTTTTCCCTGCATAATCAATTGGAGCAGGGTGTATTTCTCTCCACGTGTAATATGTTCGAGATATTCTAATTTTCTTGTTTTTACTGTTTTTAAAATCTCCATTTCTTTATTCATTCTTCCCAGAACTTCTTTGTTTGTGACGTGTTCTGTCCTCGATATTTTCAATATTCTTCTGTACACCCACAGCTCGAATGATTCCAGTTTTTTTTTGATGTCGCATTTCAGGTCCAAGATTCCATTCCATAAAATAAAGTCGAAAAAACATAGCACCTCGCCAACCTAACTCTTAGTTCCAGTTTTAAATCCCTGGTACATAGCACTCTTCTTATTTTGATCAGATCATTTGATCAGTACTTTTAGATAGTTACTAATTGATTCATTTTCATTGTTTTTATATCTTTTTTTAAACAGTTAAGTAGCCTTATTTAGTTATATTTTATGAGGTGGGGCTCTAGAGCACGGTCAGATCCTTCCGAGTTTTCTTTTCTCCACGATAAGTTTTGATAATTTCTTTAGGATAATTATTATTTTTAACTCTATGGATCAGTTCAAGTGAGTTATTCACGCAGCTTGCTGAATTTTCTTCATCAAGTTCATATTTAGTTTTTAATGAAACTTTCGTGTTCATTGTTTTTTTTTAGTGAAGCTGAAAACTTAGCCAATCTATTAGTCAATAAGTTTAATTAGGAGGTGACATTGAATAAAAGTATCAATTACTGCGAGAAAAATTAAAATATGGTGTGAAAAATCATCTACAATGCTTCATTCATATGTAAATAATTAACAAAAATATTTCTAGTTATAA